TACAGAGGTCAAACTTTTAACATTTCAAACAGATTCTGCTCTTTTTTCGGTATGCACGTGGTAACAGACTAGTGACTAAGGTATTCCAATCTGAAATGGTTATCAGAGAAACTCCTTGCAGTTATTGAATGTTGTAGCAAATCTAAAGCCTTGTATACACAGCAAGTTTTTTTTTTTTTTTTCCATTCAGCCCACTGGGGCTGAGGAGAGCTTGCAAGGAGATCTCTGCATTAACAATGTACCCCCCCCTCCCTTCCCACCAGAACACACCAGTGAGCGCAGTCATTGGCTGAGAGCGTTGATCAGATGACAATGGGCTGCTGGTTTTCCAGCAAGCTCATTCAACAGAAGCAGTCTGTGAGATCGGCTTCTGTCAAACAAGGGCCTATATGCACAGGTCGAATGTCGGCCAGTACCTACTGTACCGACTGATTTTGGCTGACATTCAGCCCATGTGTAGGGCCCGTTCACACATGTGGATTAATTTAACCCTTAACTGTAACATATGACTTTGGACACCTAAGGTTCCTGCACAACTTTGATGCTACTTAAGTGCCAGAGAGTGTAAAGTTGCATCAAAGTCACAATAAATAAACAGAACTGTCATGCTTTCCTATTAGCTCAAAAAACAAAATTCAGAAAGCACCAGAAAAACGCATCAACCACAACCTGCATACATGTGAACCTAGCCTTAAGATCGGCATCCAGCTCAGCCATGAGCTTACTTTACCCCTTGTCTACCATGCCATTTACAGTGAGGAACAGAAGGATTTGAACACCCTGCAATTTTGCAAGTTCTCCCACTTAGAAATCATGGAGGGGTCTGAAATTCACATTGTAGGTGCATTCCCACTCTGAGAGACAGAATTTAAAAACTAAAAATTCAGGAAATCACATTGTATGATTTTTAAAGAATTTATTTGTCTTGCACTGCTGAACATAAGTATTTGAACACCTAAGAAACAGCAAGAATTCTGGCTCTCAAAGACCTGTTACTGTGCCTTTAAAAAGTCCACCTCTACTCCACTCATTAATCTAACTTAGTAGCACCTGTCTGAGCTCTTTAAAGACACCTGTCCACCCCACAGTCAGTCAGACGCCAACTACTACCATGGGCAAGACCAAAGAGCTGTCAAAAGACACCAGAGACAAAATTGTGGACCTCCACAAGGCTGGAAAGGGCTACGGGGCAATTGCCAAGCAGTTTGGTCAAAATAGATCAACTGTTGGAGCAATTGTTAGAAAATGGAAGAGGCTAAAGACGACTGTCAGTCTCCCTCGGACTGGGGCTCCATGCAAGATTTCACCTCGTGGGGTATCACTGATAAGAAAGGTGAGGAATCAGCCGAGAACTACAAGGGAGGAGCTGGTCAATGACATGAAGAAAGCTGGGACCACAGTTTCAAAGGTCACTGTCGGTAGAACACTACGCCGTCATGGTTTCAAATCATGCATTGCACGGAAGGTTCCCCTGCTCAAGTCATCACATGTCCAGGCCCGTCTGAAGTTTGCCAATGACCATCTGGATGATCCAGAGGAGGCATGGGAGAAAGTCATGTGGTCAGATGAGACCAAAGTAGAAATTTTTGGTCTAAACTTCACTCGTCGTGTTTGGAGGAAAAAGAAAGATGAGTTGCATCCCAAGAACACCATCCCTACTGTGAAGCATGGGGGTGGTAACATCATGCTTTGGGGGTGCTTTTCTGCAAAGGGGACAGGACGACTGCACTGTATTAAGGAGAGGCTGAATGGGGCCATTTATTGTGAGATTTTGAGCAACAACCTCCTTCCCTCAGTCAGAGCATTGAAGATGGGTCGTGGCTGGGTCTTCCAACATGACAACGACCCGAAGCACACAGCCAGGATAACCAAGGAGTGGCTCGTAAGAAGCATATCAGGGTTCTGGAGTGGCCTAGCCAGTCTCCAGACCTAAATCCAATAGAACATCTTTGGAAGGAGCTGAAACTCCGTGTTGCTCAGCGACAGCCCCGAAACCCTGACAGATCTAGAGGAGATCTGTGTGGAGGAGAGGGCCAAAATCCCTGTTGCAGTGTGTGCAAACCTGGTCAAAAACTACAGGAAACGTTGACCTCTGTAATTGCAAACAAAGGCTTCTGTACCAAATATTAACACTGATTTTCTCAGCTGTTCAAATACTTATGTTCAGCAGTGCAAGACAAATAATAATATATAACGACCCCCCTCCTCCTCGGTTTAATATGACATTAATAGCATGCGACATCCCCCTCTGTATGATATGATATGACATTAATAACGTGATGTCCTCCTCCCCCTCTGTATAATATGACATTAATAACATGTGATGCCCCCTCTGTATATGACATTAATAACATGTGATGCCCCCTCTGTATATGACATTAATAACATGCTGGTAGGTTAATTGGATCGTGTCTAAATTGGCCCTAGTACGTAGTTTAATAACATGTAATGCCCCCCCCCTCTGTATAATATGACATTAATATGTGATATCCCCTCCCCCTCTGTATAATATGATATTAATAACATGTGACGTCCCCCTCCCCTTCTGTATGACATTAATAACGTGATGTCCCCCTCTGTATAATATGACATTAACAACATGCGACGCTCCCCCTCTGTATGATATGACATTAACAACATGTGACATCCACCTCCCCCTCTGTATAATATGACTTTAATAACATGTGATGTCCCCCCTCTGTATGACATTAATAACGTGATGCCCCCCTCTGTATGATATGACATTAATAACATATGACGACCCCCTCCTCCTCTGTTTAATATGACATTAATAGCATGTGACATCCCCCTCTGTATGATATGACATTAATAACATGTGACGTCCCCTCCCTCTCTGTATAATAACTTTATGTGACCCCCCCTCCCCCTCTGTATTATGACATTAATAACATGTGATGCCCCCTCTGTATAATATGACATTACTAACATGTGACATTCCCCTCCCCCCTCTGTATATGACATTCATAGCATGTGATGCCCCCTCCCACTCTGTATGATATGACATTAATAAACATGCGATGTCCCCCTCTGTATATGACATTAATAACACGTGATGCCCCCCTCTGTATGATATGACATTAATAAGATATGACGACCCCCTCCTCCTCTGTTTAATATGACATTAATAGCATGCGACATCCCCCTCTGTATGATATGATATGACATTAATAACATGTGATGTCCTCCTCCCCCTCTGTATAATATGACATTAATAACAAGTGATGCCCCCTCCGCCTCTGTATAACATGACATTAATACCAACGTGATGCCCCCTCTGTATAACATGACATTAATACCACGTGATGCCCCCTCTGTATAACATGACATTAATAACACGTGATGCCCCCCGCCCTCTGTATAACATGACATTAATAACACGTGATGCCCCGCTCCCCTCTGTATAACATGACATTAATAACACGTGATGCCCCCTCCCCCTCTGTATAACATGACATTAATAACACGTGATGCCCCCTCCCCCTCTGTATAACATGACATTAATAACACGTGATGCCCCCTCCCCCTCTGTATAATATGACATTAATAACACGTGATGCCCCCTCCCCCTCTGTATGATATGACATTAATAACACGTGATGCCCCCCCCCCTCTGTATAACATGACATTAATAACACGTGATGCCCCCCCCCCCCCTCTGTATGATATGACATTAATAACACGTGATGCCCCCCCCTCTGTATAATATGACATTAATAACACGTGATGCCCCCTCCCCCTCTGTATTACTTGACATTAATAACATGTGATGCCCCCCCCTCTGTATAATATGACATTAATAACACGTGATGCCCCCTCCCCTCTGTATAACATGACATTAATAACATGTGATGCCCCCTCTGCCTCTGTATAACATGACATTAATAACACGTGATGCCCCCTCCCCCTCTGTATAACATGACATTAATAACACGTGATGCCCCCTCCCCCTCTGTATAACATGACATTAATAACACGTGATGCCCCCTGTAAGATATGACATTAATAACATGTGATGCCCCCTGTGTATAACATGACATTAATAACACGTGATGCCCCCTCTGTAAGATATGACATTAATAACATGTGATGCCCCCCCCCTCTGTATAATATGACATTAATAACACGTGATGCCCCTCCGCCTCTGTATAACATGACATTAATAACATGTGATGCCCCCTCTGTATAACATGACATTAATAACATGTGATGCCCTTCTCTGTATAACATGACATTAATAACACGTGATCCCCCCCCCCCCCTCTGTATAACATGACATTAATAACACGTGATGCCCCCTCCACCTGTATATTATGACATTAATAACGTGATGCCCCCCCCTGTATGATATGACAATAACAACATGTGATGCCCCCCCTGTATATTATGACATTGATAACACGTGATTCCCCCTCCCCCTCCGTCCCAGGCAGGATACAGGACATGTTCAGACTCTTCCCTCCCTGCTGCTGGCAGCCCAGCATTACGAGGATTATCCGTTCTATAGAACAATACATAGAACTCGTGTCATCATATCATCTGTCATCTCCCATCTCTCCCCGGGGCGCCTCCCGGCCTCCCATCCGCTGAACAACAAATCCCAGCACGACCTGACAGACCTCTGATAACACACGTATCTGGAGAAGTCCCTCATACAAGTCAATGAGCACCTGAGAAACTAGAACCCCCGTCCTGCCTCTCCCCTTCATACTCGGGGATATACCCCATTTCTGACCCCAAATAAGAGGTCACATGACTCCGCCGAGGAGAGAACACGACAAAAAACTCGCGCCGTTTCCACACACATGAGCCCGCTCTCGCGATGTTTCCATCAGAGAGATGGGCGGGGTGCGGGAAAACTTCAAGGGGAATGGGGCGGGGTCTGGCGGAGTTTTGATTGGGGGCGCGAGATCTGTGGAAGGATTTGGCGCGAGTTGTCTGTGGTGGAAGTGAGTGTGAGCTGTGTGTACCAGGACCGCACCATGCCAGCTGTTGAAGTGCCGCTCTCCGACCCCGGTAATGTCCTGTGTAGTCTGGGGGCTGTCACCGGGCCCCTCGGGGATCACACAGCACGTGGCCGCCTTAGGGCTCTTATATCCTCAGAGTGCTGGGTATAAAGATTGTAGGGGGAGGGGATGTATTGGCTGACATGGTCATACTTCTGGACATTCTAGTTGCCTGCCTGCCTGTCTGTTGTTGTAGTCCCTCATGTGGCAGGATCACGTACGGGGGCTCCGGTCCCTCATGTGGCGGGGTCATGTACAGGGGATGGACAACACATGGGAACCCCACATGATTGCAGGTGTGAGAGTGAGAAGATGTTTTGTGGAAGTGATAGAATATTCTTTTACTTCCGCTGTGTGATGAGACACCTAGCTAAGAGACTGAGCTCTGCAGTCACTTTAGCAGCAGTAGTTTTCTTATTCCGGTCACAATCCTGCACAATGTCCTTTTTCTCTCTTGGTCATGTGACCGTGACAACCGCATTTCTGCGTACCCAATGGCGTTTTCCTAGGATCTGTATATGCCGTCATAACCTTTAATACTGTACCTCGCGACACGGCAAAGACATTGACAAGAGGAGCCTTTTGGGGTTTGCAAGAATGCAGAACCATCAGTTTAACATGGCTTCCTATGGGGCCCATTCACATCGCTGCAGTTTTGGCAGAGGTGCAGGGTTTTTGTAGAAAGGCAGTCCTGGACCCCCATGTGTGAACCTAGACAGAGTCCTCTACCAGACTGTCATGTCAGTGCTGTGTGATTGTGCAGGAAATATTGGTGTACAATGTAATGGGAGACAATACAGTTCAATACAAGAGGGCTAGGAGGGCCTGATCTTTGGAGCTTACAATCTAAGATACATGAGGGTGTCAGCAGTATAGACACACACGGGCAGATTTTCATCTGTTCACGTCTACAGTCATATTCTGCCATTAACCAGCTGTATGTTTCCCTATGACATGTAATACTGAACACTTATGTCATGCAGAGGGAATGCAGTCTCCATGCATAGTGTCGCTTGGTGCCAACTGTAGTCACCTATCTTGCCTTGTTGCTGCACACAGACTGCCAATACAAGTGGATATGGCTGCATGGACACAATTCTACATGCCTGTAGAAACCGGTCCATGGATCTGACTACAAACGTTTGCATCCGTGCTCTCGCTGCACATGCCATGTTTTTACATGCAGTTGTGTGCATCCACTGGTATAGGTTTGAATCACTTGCAGACTGAGAAAACGGGGGATTGGTCTGTGTCAATGCCCATATGAGCCCATGGTTCATGTATGTGTGGGTCACATAGCATATGTTCTTGACCAGCACAGAAATGCGCTGCTCTTTAGCAGACACGCCTAAGTGCATTTTTGTGTGCTCAAGACTGCAGGGCTATGTGTTTTCTGTGCAGTATGTTTTTTGAAAGGATCAGGGACTTCTTTCCCTGTATTGTACCTGCACCGTGCGAGTGCAAACATGCATATGTGAACCTAGCCTTTCTAGACTACCATGATGGTTACTGGAGTACAAGAAGGAGGGAGAAAATGAAATCTCCATGCTGATAATCCAAAAGGAATTTGAACCGGAGTTCCAGTGCTGCAAGACAGGAGCGCTGTTTTGCTGTCAACCATTAACAGAATATTTCTTACATTGAAGCCCCTCCCACTGTTTTCAGACTTCAGTGGATTCCGCGCACCTCCTCTAGCAGTATGTTCTAATCTGCAGAAGATCGCTCACACCACACCATACAATATTTTCACACAAAGATTCTGTAGTTTGTTCCAAGGTCATCGCCCCATCAGCACAAAGAACCTACTTAGAGCAGGGTATAGATCAGGGGTGGGCAAACTTTTTGACTTGAGGGCCGCAATGGGTTCATATATTGGACCCGGGGGCCGGACCAAGAGTAGATGAATGATGTGTATGTGTCATCCATAGTAAGTATAGTAATATTCCCCCATAGTAAGCATAGTAATTCATCCCCCATATAGTAATTCATCCCCCATATAGTAATTCATTCACTTACCTTTGCTCCGCGCGTTCCTCTCGCCGTGTTCCCGCGCCGTTCCGGTCTTCAGGGCGGACTGTGAGAGGAGCCTAGCTCCCCTCACGTTCATCACGCTGCCCCGCCTACACACATCCTGACAGCCATCCTGACAGTATCACGCTCCACGGGCCGGATTAAAAGGTCCGCCGGGCCGTAGTTTGCCCATTGCTGGTATAGATATTGCTGTCTTCTGGCTGCTACATCTCATTTCTTACCATTCATCAAATACAGGCTATGTGAAGCAGAGGGGTGTATAAAGTTGCAGAGGGTGTTGTTCGATTGGAGAAGCCGTAGCATGACTGCTGCAAGCCCACACTGCAGCTTTATACAGTGCCCCTAAAAGTCATGAGCGTGCATCTGTGACCAATGCATGGGTTGATGCTGAGGTACTGGAAAGCGATTGCTGACAAACTGCCCCACTAGCCTTGCCTTCAGCTCATTCCCATACAGCCTTTGATTTACTTAGGCGGTCTAACGTGTTAAAGTAGAATTAAAGGAAAATCCCTTTTGGTCCTTAACACCCCTGTCTTTTTTTTTTATATAGCACTGATCACTGTATTGGTGTCACTGGGGATGTCAATGTCGCCAAGTCAGATGCCCACCACAGTCCCACTATAATTCGCTGATCACCGTCATTACTAGTAAAAATAAACTTTAAAAATCCCAGCACATATACCGCCATTTGTAAACACTATGACTTTCACGTAAACCAATTAATTAACATGTATTGGGATTTTATTTTCTTTAGCAAAGACAGCAGAATACATTTTGGCCTAAATTTGACTAAATTTTTTTTTTCTTGACATGTTTAATAGCAAAAAGTCAAAAATATTTTTTTCTCAATTTTTTTTTCTTATTTTTTATAGCACAGGCGATCAAATACCACCGCAATAAAGCTCAATTCATGGTGGGGGAAAAAAACGTAAATTTCATTTGGGTGCAGCGTTGCATGACTGCGCAATTGTTGATGTATCGCAGCGCCGTAACGCAAAAAATGGCCTGGTCAGCAAGGGGAGTAAATACTCTAGAGCAGTGGTTCTCAACCTTCCTAATGCCGTGACCCTTTAATACAGTTCCTCTTGTTGTGGTGACCCCCAACCATAAAATTATTTACCCAGTAATTATAATTCATGAGTGTCGTTTTACCTCCAATACTGCTGCTTTCAACACAGTAGCTAGCTGCTTTCAACACAGTAGCTGCTTTCAACACAGTAGCTGCTTTCAACACAGTAGCTGCTTTCAACACAGTAGCTGCTCTTTACACATCGGAAATATGTGTTTTCTGATGGTCTTAGGGGACCCCTGTGAAAGGGTCGTTCGACCCCCAAAGGGGTCGCGACCCACAGGTTGAGAACCCCTGCTCTAGAGGGCAAGGAGTTAAGGGTTAATATAGCCACTTATTTTGATTTATAATCCTTCCCCAGCACAGTATAATGTGTGTATAATAATAATTGCAACTTTGTTTTCTGAATAAAGCTTGTGACAGGATTGTTTCTGGTACAGCAACCATAGCAATACATTACTTGAGTATCTGGTTCCCCAGTGTCAATCACTTTCTGATATTTGATTGCTATTTAACTACTTGCCAACAGCAGATAGCCGAATGACGGCTACACTGTGGCCGGCCAGCTCTTGGAGGGCGTCATATGACGTCCTCCCAGAACGCGCTCTCCTGCGCACCCTGCGATCTCCGTGATTGCTGTGTCCTATGGACACAGCTCATCACGTGATGTGGTAAAAGGCCAATCACAGCGGCCTTTTACCACGTAATCAGCCGTGTCCAATGACACGCTGATCACCGGGAAATGCAATTGCCGGTTCTCGGCTGCACTTTCCTCACGCTGTCAGAGCACGAGGAAAGTACTGCCGAGAACCAGCAGTTGTCAGAGCAGGGATCAGCACTGATGATCAGTGCCCTGATGATCGGTGCCTAGAGGTTGCGCAAGTCATTGCCCAGCAGTGCCACCTATCAGTGCTGCCTCATCGCACATCAGTGAAGGAGAAAAATTACCTGTTTGAAAAATTTTATAATAGAAACAAAAACTTTTTTTTTTTTTTAAATTTTTGCAATTTCTTTATAGCGCAAAAAGTAAAGCGCCCAGCGGCGATTAAATAACACAAAAAAGATCTATTTGTGAGAAAAAAATGATAAAAATTTCATATGGGTACAATCTTGCATGACCGCGCAATTTTCAAAGTGCGACAGCGCTGAAAGCTGAAAATTGGCCTGGTAAAGGGGGTATAAGTGCCGGTAGGCAAGTGGTTAAACCCAATTTCCATACACTGGGGCAGGTTATGACAAAGGAGGTTTTCCCTTTGACATGTGTTACTGCACCCTACACCACCCACCTCTCCCAGGCACACATGGGGATCACCACAAGGCTGATTACAGTGTTCCAGGACCCAGTGCTCCGGCCGGTCCTTGACAGCTGTCAGATCAAACACCTCCTCTCTCCTGGCATGAGAAGAACTTTGTTTGCAGCTTTGCTCCATCTGCTGATGTCTCTGTGCTCCTCCTGTGCTGGACACCTGTGTTTTAATGTAAGCGTGCTATGTTTTTATTTTCAATAAATGTGTATAAATGCTGATGGAGGGTTTGCGGTGTTGCCACTTTTGTTTGAGTACAACAGAATCCCTAGTTGTCCAAAGCTCACCAGAACCTAGTGTTCCATTGGAAGGTTTCCCTCTTTTTCTGGGACAAAACAATTTGGGGTTTTCGTTTTTGCTGTACTTTAACCATTTGCTGTCCAGTGTGTGCATGTGTATACTGTATGTCCTGGACAGCAAGCGGTTCTACAAGGATCATGGCTGCAGCTGATGAGATCACTGCTACACTTGATTAATAACTGGGTTCTCAAAGGTTGTAGTGCACACAGTGCGATTATCATTTTGTTTGTAGTGGAGTGTATTTACAGAACCAGACAGATATTAGTTCTCATTGAGAACTGCAAACTCTTTAGCATATGAGATGTAGCAACAAGGACAATGTATGTTTGCCTCATGTAATAGCAGAATTCTTTAAACCAGGGGTAGGCAACTGTAGAGGTGGAGATGTACTTGAACAACATGGGAGAAGTCAAAGATCACCTGGAACGGTGTCACCTCCTCACACCTGATTTAAACCTCTAATTGCCATACTACCTTGTCACAATCGCATGCATAGCATGGCAATCATGGGTTTACATCCGGCGGTGAGGAGGCACCATATTGCCTTCTCACCACTTGTCAAACGCACTGGGATCACTTTGCAGAGGAGAAGCACTGCACCTGTGAATTAGCTCTTAGTTGTAATTGGCATTGACACCCTAAGAGCTTGTTCACATGTAAAGTTGGTGGGTGGTAAAACCCTACGGTTGAATCATGGTTTTACTGCCCTCTAATCCCTACCTTTAGCTTCTGAGGCAGCTGCTAAGTGTACAAATGCTGCAGCAGGAATTGCACCCCCTGTTACTTTTGGTAGGTGCTACTGCCTGTCAACCAAGACCCATTCAAGTAAATGGGCCACTCTGAAAGTGTCCTGCAACTGCATGCTTCTGCAGGGTCAAAGGGCTTACAGCAGGTGGCGAGAAAGCAATGCAATGCTGCCTGTTTAACCCCTTGTTTGCTGTACTGTACAAGGTTACAGGGCAACTGCAGAGCAGCCTCATTCATTTAATAGGTCATGCTTGGCTGGTGCTACACCTACCAACCATGACAGGGCATAGGAGACATCAACTTGTGCAGTTCCTGCTCCCCACTACAGATCCAACTTTAGTCCCTCTGCATTGCACTCTGTTGCTCTGGGATGGCGGGTCAGCAAGCCCAGACCACGATCTACCAGTCACCTGGCCAAGATCTACTGTCAGATCACGATGTACTGGTTACTGACCCCTGCTTTATACCATTACTAACCTTGAAAATTAGACCTTATGGAGAGAACTACATAACATACAATGAGCTTCTGTGTTCAATAACTGGCAGCTTTGTTTTAGAATACCACCATTGTATAGCCCTAAAGGATTTCCACCAAATATGTGACCAAGAAAGTTTGAAACACTGAGTTCCATTGATGGAACATGAATGGAATGGGACTTTTATGTTCCCTCCTAGATTGTAAGCTCCAAGGAGCAGGGCCCTCCTTTCCCTCTTGTATTGAACTGTATTGTCTCCCGTTATATTGTAAAGTGCTGAGCAAACTGTTGCCGCTATATAAATCCTGTATGTTTCATATCTAAACCTCACAGCTAAATGTGACTACCATTTTGTAAAACAAATGTTGCTGTCTTTGCAGCTTCACCGGCGTCTGAAATGGATCAATTAATGGATGGATTAATAACTCCAGCAATGTTAAAGGAAGAGGAAAAACTTGAGAAAGCAGCTCAAGTTGAGGAGCGAAAAATTATGGAAAAGGTGGAAATAATTTTCTGTTTGTTTGTTTTTGTTTTTTTTTAATTTTTTTTTTGTATGCTTAGAAAGTAAAATACCTTGAATGAATGACCATGTATCATACCATGTGTAAAATGTCAGGTATTTATGTGCTCAGGGATGTTGAATTTGTATCGCCTCATTCCTGGGACGTAGTGTGGGTTTTTTTTTTTTTGTTTTTGTTTTTTGTTTTTTTTTACACCGAGTGCAAAAATGGCTTTGGCATCAAAAAGGATAAAGGCTAAGCCTGACACTCCCCTTTTCTGACAAGCACCCAGTCGGTGCTCATTTACACTGTAAGGTCTCTCTCCTCCCTGCTAGTCCCTGGGTGCGGTGCTGGAGATGGGCATGGAGGGGAGGAGGAGATAAAACAGCGCAATGTTAAAAAAAAAAAAATAAAAATAAACATTTTAAGTTGCCATAGAATCCCTTTTTGATTTAAAAGCCCCAGACATTCCTAACAGCACCTCAGATACGGTTTTGGTTAAAATTGTGTGGTGTTTTTTTTTTTTTTTTTTTCCACACCCCTGGTGCTAAAGTGGGCTAACCAAAGCAATATAGACTTTCCTTGCATATTTGTGCTCAAACAAGATGATGAACTGAAACCTGTAACAAATTAAGTAGAGTTCAGGTGTGTTCAAAACACTACAACAAAGCCTATTTTTGAGTTTTTTTTGGTGTTTTTTTTTTTTTTTTTTTTTCTTTTATACTACCTGCAACATTTTTCTCCCCAATTCACCCAGGTTGTTGAGTCTTTGCAAACTAGCTTGAAGAAAACATGCTATAAAAACATTGCTGCCAATGCTGATGGCTTCTTAAATAAAAAAAATGTAGTAGCTGAAATATTCTGACACATTAACAGCAAGCAGGAGCCAAGTGGGGGGGGGGGGGGGGGGGGGGCTGGTGGGCTGGTGTGGTTGTGTTTTTTTTTTTTTTTTTTTTCTTTTGTTTGTTTGTTTTTTTTAAAAAGGTTAAAAAAAAAAAAAAAAAAATTATGTTTAGAACCACTTGACTTCAAAATTACCACTTCTGTGTGATGCCAGTTGTAATATTCATGGCAGGCATTTGGGGGGGTTTTGAGGCTCAATGAATGCTGCTTAACCACTGGCCCTCTGGAAGACCAGGCCATTTTTTTTTTTTTTTTTTTTTTTTTTGTGCCATAAAAGACCAAAAATATCAAAATGTTACTTTTTTTTCTAGAAAACCAGCTGTAACCTAACTTTAGAGTTTTTGATTTCTGAGAATATTCTGCTTCAGCTTACTAGCAGATAGGGGTGTGCGAGGGCTTGTTTGAAGTATTCCACATATCCCTTAGTAAACTATTTTAATGTTCATAGTCGAGGCACTGGTGCAAGCTGCATGTAGTCTTCATCGGACTGCTGGAACTTGCAAGATCCAGCCACTGAGCGATCAAATATGTGTTTCAACGTTTTTTGTTTGTGTGCAAATGGCTGAAATATAGGTAGTGCTGAGCACACATTCCTGGTGCCCCCTTATGTCTTTTGATGTTTAGTTAAAAAAGGAAATTTTAAAAGCACTGCTGCTACAAAGTTCATGACTTTTCAGATTAAGACTCTCTGTGATGCCAGACAGTCCTTGCAAGGGCATGGTGGATTCCTAAATTGCTGCAAGCTTGATTTATACAGCTCCTTGTAAAGGCTTGTCGAGATGTTCCCCTCTGGGTCTGTAGGTTTGTCTTGGGTCTTTTGTCATCAATCCTTGGTGGCTCAATTGTCTTCAATCTACATGCAGTAGCATGAAAGTTATGCAGACAGATGAGGGAAACTAGGGCCAAGACTTAAGAACATGAAGAAACTGTGCTCTGTGATGTCTGATCAACTACTTGAGTTATGCTGCCACCTTTAGTGTTGAAATTAAAATTCTGTACCAAAAATTCAGGATGCACTTGGCCAAGAACTGAAATGGACAGGTGCTTGTGTTTTGTTTTGTGTGTTTTTGTTTTTTTTTTTTTTTTTTTTTTTTTTTAATATATACACCATTGCATTCGGCTTTTTAATATCACAAAGTTAAATGAATATGAATTTTAAAATACAATTTAGTAACTCAATCACTTGAAGGCAACACAAAATTTGGACAGAAAATTAAATGTATCTAAAATTTAAAAAAACTTAAATAGGTGTGTTTTTGCATTGAGGTCAATGATATGCGATTATGTATCGAAGTCCATTAGCATTATGGGCTGTTTTACCAGGTGGATGGTTTTGCCCTTGCAGATGCCTCCTGGAGACCGGTCGTGTAGGCATCTTACCAATGGGGTTTTTCCTGTTCTGAAGGTTGCAGTATAACCAAAATCATGAAGAAGAAGACACCCTGTGTCCTGTAATGCATGGGGGGGGGGGGGATCCCTGACAGTACAATATTGGGCGGAACAATCTTGACAAGCACTACAGAGGAAAAAGATTTGGGAGTACTCATCTTGGATCGTGAACAAACAGTGTAGCCAGGCAGTGGGAGATGTGCATAGATTTTTGAGTCATTAGAAGGGTCACCAATAGAAGATTCCTTTAGTCCTGATTCCTTTATGTAGTTCTTTAGTTAAGCCTAGTACACACAGAGAAAATCTGACAAATGCATTTTCGAAGCGATAATCTGGTTGTTGGTACACAGCTTTCAAGAGCCGATTACAACAGTTCAAAATTATTTGAAGGGAGAAGCACAATTTTTTTTTTTTTTTTCTCTCTCTCTCTCAAGATAACCGAACAATATTCAAATTGGTACAGTGTTCCTCTGTATTAAAAAGTAGTGACCCAAGATTGCGCATGCTCGGAAACATACCTTGCATCATGGGAAGTTGTATTCTGTCTTAAAAAAATTTTTGTAACTAACTTATTCATTTTTCGGTATGTGACAAGTATGTAAAAAAACCTATCATTTGTCTGATGTTTTCCTCATGTGTGAGGCTTTAGTCCTCCATGTAGAATACTGTCCAGTTCTGGAAACCTCACAAAGATATTGATAGAACGAGTTTATGTATTGCTTGGTACAGACTGAAAGGATATAGACCAGAGATGCAGTGATTCTGCCCTGTCCAGGTTTTTAAAGGCAGGACATGTACAGTACTGCAGAGTAAGATGTGTACCCCCATTGAACTTGCCAAACATGTACAAAACCATTCTTTTTCTGAGATTCCTTTTTCTAATTCTTCTTGTAGGCTCAGATGTCTTGGGAAAGAGACTCTAATGAAATGCGGTATAAAAGGCTCCAGCATTTGCTTGAGAAAAGTAACATTTATTCCAAGTTCCTTTTAACTAAAATGGAACAGCAACAGCTGGAGGTAAGTTATATTCGTGTACAAAATGCACTGTTAATGCACAGAAAAACAGACCTGTTATTCTGTGCTGCCTAGGTGTGTTCTGTAGAGAACACAAGTCAAAGCTGAAAGTTTAACAGTGTACCTTATTCATATATTTTTTTTTTTTTTTTTTTTTTTTAGGAGATTAAAAGGAAAGAAAAACATGAAAAGAAAAAGCAGAAAACCACACAGGTAGACACTGGTTTCATTTTTATAAAAACTTTAAATGCCTAACTTGCATGGCACTGAAGTTTCCTTGCCGTCTGCCAATTAATATTAAATGGTCCTATTTAATACAGTGCAAAAGATATTTATTGATATTTGTTTATAGCATTTCCCATTAAAATCTGAGCACTGGAAGTAAAAAAGTAAATGTCATAGCTGGCTCTAGCTCCCTCCTGAATCCTAATATAGCCGTCCCCATACAGCAACCACTGAGCCTTGCCCCCTCTGCATTCTGTAGCATTGTCGCTTCATCTCCCCTTATTAGTACAGAATCTGGATCTGCAAACTGTTCAAGGAAATGAAAACTGACAGGTTTTGTGTTGTGAATTATTGCAGCTGGAGAAAAGGGCCCTCGTTCACAAAAAACACATGCTACTACACTTGTCAAGTAGCTCAGTGTACTATCTGGCTTGTGCTGTTATCAGCTTGTGTTTTTGTAAATGAGTCCAATTCTCCAACCGCCATCATTCATTCACAACATAACATGACCGTTGTTTCCACTCTTACCCCTGAATGGCAGACTATAGGTCTGGACTCTGTAAACTAAACTGCAGAGATGAGGAGACCGATGAATGAATCTGTCTGGCATCTTGGGAGGAGAGCAGGTTATGAGCTGTCTGGGCTTTGTGTACATTGCTTGTCATGCCTCCTTTCCTCCTGAGCTGTTGATCAGTGTTGTCAGCTTGGTGGGTGGGGCTAGATATTCAACACCACATCTTGGCAATCCCTGCACAGGCTTTAGATGGCGACAAGTGCTATATGCACAGCATCTCCTGGGGTGTTTAACAAGCCCTCCCCCTTCTTCTTCTTTTTTTTTTTTTTTTTTTTTCCCCCCCCTAATGGTCAGGGGTCTTCTTTAATCTGGCTATTCACTAACTCTAACAGATGACACTGCTCTATATGCAAATATTGTAAATGCATGTAATTTTTCAGGGTGCCATTCAGTGTTTTACCTGCACTTTTTAGTTGTGGTAAATTTAGCTGCTTTTTATATAAAATAAAATTCTCTGCATACTCCAAAGGTATGTAAGCATTGCTAAACCTGCTTTTTTAAAGCAGGAAAATTAGGGGTACATTCATACCTACGAATACACTTGGCTACACAGCATTTGGCTGCAGGAGGCAGCTCCTTTGGAAGCAATGGGTGGTTGTCAGCTCCCACAGCTAATGTCGGCCACTTGCCTGTGATCGCTGAGCCTCCTCTTCCAGTTTGCTTTCTGGAACTTCAGGAAATTCGGCTGTCTGCAGCTTTGGACCAGTCCTACTGGAGAGGTGCAGATCAGATCCTATTCTTGGTAGAATTTGATGTTCCAGCCTTGTCAGACTAGCACATTACAGGTGTAGATGTTTGGCATGCTGACTTCTCACCAGGAGCCCCTGAGTCCAGGAGTAGTGGTCCCTTCATGTGAATTGTTCCTTGTTGCTTCTTACTGGCCCAGACAGCTGACTTTATAAAGACAAACACTATGTAGGCAGTGCCACATCTTATGTCTCACCAAACTGCTGTCCTGCCTTATGGTTGCTAGCGTTAATAGCAGGGCTGTTGAAACCAATGTTCTGAGGGACAAGGCCATCTGAATCTCATTCCTACATGCTAAAAGCTAGGCAGTCTACTTCTGCAAGGACTCTCATTGCACATGGAAGACCTCACTTGTTAGTCTTGGTTTCTACCCCAGGAGTTTCTTCATTGGACTAATTCTCTTTGCTTCCGCTGGGTCTGTTTCAGAGATTGCTTTCCCATACTTTAAGACCTTCTGTACAGGGGGACTTCATGTAATGCTCCCTTTTTAGTTACCCCGTGACTCTGTAAAATGTGAGTCCTGTTTTCTTCTGCTCTTCGGAAACTTCCTTTTTAAACCCATCACAGACCTTTCACGTCTCGCCCGCAAGGTTGTTTTCTTGTAGCCATGTGGGGTGAGTTTGTCTCAAATGGCAGCCTTCTTCTGCAAAGTGTGTGTGTGTGTGTGTGTGTGTGTGTGTGTGTGTACCTGTGTTGGCCTAGGCGCCCATGCGTGTGCACACAGGTGTTTGTGGATGTATTTGAAGAGGAGCATTTATAGACAGAAGAAAAAAATGCAGCAAAGACACATTCTGAGAGGAGCTTTTGAGCTGGAAAACCCAGGTGTAAATGAAAATGTCCAGTAAAATGCATTTACGCTCAAATGCCATATGTGCTTGCATAATGTAACACTGGAGGCATAAAAAGGTTGCTCATTTTTTATATGCCAGTTTTTCATGAGACCCTAAAGCTGTAGTAAACTGCAACTTTAAAAAAATATTTAAATGCCCTGCAAGGTAATGTCAGAACGTGCTAGGATGAATCACATACTAGCACATTCTAAAGGGCTTTCCTTAAAACTAAGCCCTCCATCGGCGAGCTGTCAACGCTGACAGGGCTTCCATCTTCACCTGGTGTTCCTTTTTATGGGTTCGCTAGCTCCAGCCAGTCTGACTAGCTGAGCAGCAATGACACCACAGCACGGTGCTCTGGAGGATCGGCACGGGTATGCCATTCCTTCAGTGCTTATGTGCCGGCTGTCATAAAGGGTGAATATCTTTTAAACGATGCACATTTCAGCAAATATTCATTTCACCTACAGGTAAGCTTACCTACCTGTAGGTAAAAGATTCAAAAGTGGGTTTACTTACACTTTAATGTCATTAAAGATTTACCTTTTTTCTTTTTCAGTCTGCAACCGCTGTATTTTTCTGGAAAATTCATTGCAGTGTGACAGCCTGGCCCAGAACTTTCTGGCTAAGGTAGTTTCTCACCTCACCCAGGACCTTGTTCTTCATCCCTGCAGTTTAGGCTGAGTATCTTAAAGCCAGACTTTAGGTTTTGTTTTTTGGTTTTGTTTCATCCCAGGTGGACCTTCTCCTTTTTTTTTTTTTTTTTTTTTTTTTTTTTTTTTCTTTTCCCCCCCTCTTATTCCACATCTCTAGGTGGTCTAGGCAGACTAACAAGTGCCCTATATAATATACATTTTCTAGAGCTCAACCTCTGTAGCTGTAGGCAGACCATCATCCAAGCCTAAAATCTGGTATTGGCTCTGCTACTTGACAACATGCTATCGAAGTCTATCAAATATAAGTTTCATCCTTCATCTCATGCCAGCTTTGGGCATCGGGTTCTTAAGGCTGCAGGCTTGTACCCAATTCTGTTGATGTTTTTATGGACATTTCCTTTGTTTCCCACACCTCAAACTGCTTTTGGACAGCACAAAGGTGTAAAACATCTTTGTCTCTCTGAAACAGAAATAGGATTTTTGTACTCTGTGAAATCCTTTTCTTGGAGTCCATTGAGGATGAAGTCCTACCTGTGTATGATCATGCTCTTACCACGGTTTTGTTACAAAACTGAGGCATAGTGGGACTAGTTATTCTGAGCTAGCCTAGTTTCTTTGCCAGTGTCCATTCCTGTAGGCAGCAGTATAACCCAAAGTTTAAAACTTGCTGTTCACCTCAAATCAAAGGACCTTGTTGAGTACTAAAATCATCATGTTTTGCCTGCACCTCATTTACCGTGCCTTGAAAAAGTATTCATACCCTTTGAAATTTTCCATATTTTGTCATGTTACAACCAAAAATATAACTTTATTTTCTGTGATAGACCAACACAATGTGGCACATAATTTGAAGTGGAAGGAAAATGATAAATGGTTTTCAAACTTTTTTACAAATATCGGGAAAGTGTGGTGTGCATTTGTACTCAGCCCCCCCAAATCAGTACTTTGTACTCTGCAATTACCGCTTCAAGTCTTTTTGGGTATGTCTCTACCAGTTTTGCACATCTATAGTGACATTTGTGCTCATTCTTCTTTGCAAACTGTCAGATTGGATGGAGAGCATCTCAACAGCAGTTTAAGTCTTGCCACAGCTCCTCAATTGGGTTTAGGTCTGGACATTGACTGGGCCATTCTTACACATGACAATGCTTTGCTCTAAAACATTCCATTGTAGCTCTGTCTTAGGGTTGTTGTCCTTCTGGAAGATGAACCTCTGCCCCAATCCTGAAGTCTTTTGCAGACTCTTTTTAGGCAATCTTCTAAGATTGCACTGTATTTGGCTCCATGCATCTTCCCATCAACTCTGACCAGCTTCCATGTGTCTGACAAAAAGCATCCCCACAAAATGATGCTGCCACTACCATGGGGATGGTGTGTTCTGGGTGATGTGCAGTGTTCAGTGAGACCAAAATTTTAACTTTGGCCTAGAAGCAAAACTCTGTGTGGCAAAAAACTGACCAGAGCACCTTCTTCCATGTTTGCTGTGTCCCCCCACATGGCTTTCTGCAAACGGGACTTCTTACTTCTTTCTTTCAACAATGGCTTTCTTATTGCCACTCTTCTATAAAGGCCAGATTTGTGGAGTGCACAACTAATAGTTGTCCTGTGGACAGATTCTCCCACCTGAGCTGTGGACCTCTGCAGCTCTTCCAGAGTTACCATGGGCCTCTTGGCTGCTTCTCTGATTGAATGATCTCCTTACCTGGACTGTCAGTTTAGGTGGGCGGCCATGTCTTGGTAGGTTTGCAGTTGTGCCATACTCCTTTTTTTTTTTTTTTTTTTTTTTTTTTTTTTTTTTTTTCCTTTTTCCATTTTTGGATGCATTGATCAGTGCTCCATGAGATGTTCAAAGCTTGGGTTTTTTTTTTTTTATAACCTAACCCTGCTTTAAACCTCTCCACCTCTCCAGAAATCTGGGGTCTTAGACTCTCTCCTTGGCCCCCTGATAAATTGGTTTGTGTGTGTATATATAAATGCTTTGATCCACAATCCATGTATACAGATCTTCCGTGAAGAAAAGCGGCTCCAAAAAATCAAGGAGTAGGTAAATTTGCTGTTTCCACCTGAATTCCAGGTTTGGGCAGTGAATGGGGGAAGTACGAGTGCTGTCGCATTTGTGGGCTGCTAATCAGGATTTGCAAGCACATCCAGAAGGACACTATGGGCCTGTGTTCAAAT